GGGCTCCGCTGCTGCCGCTGCCGGGCCCGCTCCGGGGCCGCTTTCGGGGGTGCCCGGGGGTGCCCGCGGTGCCGAGCCCGTGCCCAGGCTCTGGGGCAGAGCCCCGCCCGGCAGAGCTGCGCCCGCCGCCGGCATCCTGGAGGGGCCGCATCCTGCTGGCAAACGCCCGCTCGCATCCCCCGAGCCCCGCTCACCCCAGCGCCTGTCCCGCTGTTTTCGTGGCCCAGCTCCCGGCCCGCTGCTCCCGCTATAAATAGCAAGAAAATGGCGCTTGCGTGGATCAGGCCGGCCTCACTGGCGACGCTGACCAAGAGCTGTCCCCGCCCGTCCCCTTCTCTCCCTTCCCACCGCCCCCCGCCTTCTCGCTCCCACCGCGCCTGCCATGCCCAGGATCCGCTCCCGAGGGTGTTGCCAAAACCACTCGCTCAGTGGAACATCTGATCCTGTCCCCGAGGAGAGCGAGCCACCGCCACTTTGCCGGAGGTTCGGCCGCGGCTCCTCAAGCCTCTGCACCGCCGAGGGGCTCCGGTCCTGCTCGGCCGGGCGGTGAGTGAGCGTCTCTCACCTGGAAACTTTTCCGGGGGAAAGGGGATGCTGCCGTTCTACTTCTTTGATGTGATGAGAAACGGAGGTGGAGCTCTGAGTGAAATAATTTTAGGGCCCTGAAAGAGATTTTCTGGATGTATTTTTATCATGTGGCTCTGGCATTTCAGTTGGCACGTCAGAGGAATTGCATGACTGTGTCCAGCAAGGGCCCTGGTCCTAGAGATAAGCTCAGCTKGGCCCATACAKCCATCTMCTTGACTGGTGCTCGYAGAGTGTGCTAAAATTAACATYAAAACTGTCCTCTGGGTGAATTGARCTAAGGAGTATATTTAAWGCCTGGCATCTCAAAAATCTGATGAGCAAGCTGTTGATTTAAAAAATGAGAGCGGTGGAAGGTTTGTCATCTTTGTGGCTTCCAGTGACATGAAATTGTTAATTCAGTGGAGGATTGAATGGCAGCTCTGCTTTTTGTATCAACCCCTTCTTTAAGTCTCAACTATTTGCAAATGTTTGCAGTGGAAATTGAATAGCCAAGGCAATTCTTATGGTTGAAAAAAATAAAAAAAGCATATACATGGAAACCCAGAAATCTGCTTTACCTGGGTGGAGCAGGGTCTCGTTGCCTGGGGGAACCTGAGCTGGGATCCTGCAGGGCAGAGACTGGTTTCTGCTCCCACCGAGTGGGAGATGCGTGTGGTCAGCACTGCTCAGCAGTCACTGAATTACGCTGTAGCACGAGCGAGATTGCAATAGGAACTGCCACTGAACAGGCAGCAARGATGGTGTGATAAACACGGTGAAATTCCAGCATAAAGCTGACAGTTTATTTGTGCACAAGTGGGTCTCTCTCGCTGATTCAGTTTCATTGTGTAATGAGGTTGAAAGGCCCTTTCTATTCATACCCCATCCAAAATAGCTGTGGCCTCTGTGTATRGACAGCTGGTGTGTTCTTGAATGGCCCAGAACCACTGAACTTACCATGGAGACTGTAAATACTTCTCTGGCTAACACTGCACATGAGTTTATGGGTACAAGGGAAAGGAGAAAGGATAAGTAAATAAATAATAACCAGCATTACAACACAAACAACAGCAAGCCMTGTTAAGGAAACCCTTCTGTCCAACCTTCCCAGACCCATTGTGGCAGTCACACTTGCCCCACTTTAGCTAGGATGAGGCCCCATCAGAGCCCCCCTGAAGTGCCCCCCGTGACTCCCTGTACACCTCACCCTCACACAATCAAAGTCTTCTGACCTGCTCATCCCCAGCTTTCCCACAGCAGTCTCACTCTTCAGAAAGTTTTTGTTAAGTTATGGTCTTGCTTAGCCCCACAGGTTCGGGACTGATGACAAGCCTACTTCTTGTTCCCTCCACTCTAAGGGCATAATGGGGGTCATCCTTTTTACTACACCTGTCCTCAGGTGAGCTCCGTGTCTTCTTGTTCCTTTCTCTCCCCAGCTGGCCATGCCTTGACAGAAGAGAAGTAAAGAACTATGTCCACATCAGCCAGTTAATCCCCTCCCCAGAGAAGGATTTGGGTAAGATCTCATGATGACCTGCCTGGGATGCTATAATTAGTTCTTAGAATCATAGAATGGTTTGGGTTGGAAGGGATCTAAAAATCATCCAGTTCCAACATCCCACCATGGGCAGGGACACCTTTTGTTAAGCCAGATGGCTCAATGCCCCATCTAACCCGGCCTTGAACACTTCCAGGGGCAGAGCATCACAACTTCCCTGGATAAATCCTTCCAGTGGCTCACTGCCCTCACAGTAAGGGATTTCTTTCTAAAAAACCTAATCTAAACCTAGTTTCCGATATCTAACCTAAACCCACTCTCTTTCAGTTTGAATTCTGATCACATCAGTCTGTGGTTTGTTGATCTCCCAGAGGTGTGCATGTGATGATGTGCATCATAGTTGTGCTCTCAAGGGCTGTCTGAATTTTGTGTTTTTCAAACAGCCTTTGAAGACAAGAGTCTCTTCTGTCAGTCAGAACATACTTCAGTTTGGGCCTACCACATGAGATCTGASAGATATTTAAAATGAACCATTTCAAAGGTTTTCAACAAATCCAATGATAAATTTATTATTATTTCTTCTTGRAGGATTAGAAATACAATTAAAATAAGAAAATATGACAAATGAATAGGAATAATATTGTTAACTATAGGTGTGTATTTGGGGATTCATTTTGATCAAATGCTCTGTTCACKATGCAGCCATAATCTTGCTCACGTGCTCTGGCATCCGATTTATCCCTGGACAGTTTCAAAGAAGAGTCCCTTGTTATTATAACTGTATCCACCTTTCTCTTCCTTCTGTAGAATGGAAAAAAAAAAGGAARAACAACCTATTTTAATTWTTATTCTTATTTGTAGTGAGAGATCAAACAATACTGTGAGCAAGAATGGAACTGCGTTTTGGAGAAGGTAGAGTTTCATGGTCAGTGAATGCATATGCCCTGTGTAAAAGGAATGGCATGTGTTCATTCCCAAGAAAAAGGTAAGTTTTCTCACATTCCTCAGAAGAAGGTGCTGAATGCTGTGACCCCTTTTGGTCTTGCAGGTATGTGATTGATGGGAGTTTTGAGGTTTCCAGCTTTGCTAAAAGAGGTGTGTTGACTCTGCTGAATGTAGCAAAGCTGGAAAAGGCCTTACCTGAGCAGGTACATTGTAGAGGAGATGAGAATGACAATAACAGCTACACCTGCCACAACTCCAATGACAATGGCAATTGTGTGGTTCGAATCYTCTGTGTCAGGGTCTTCAGCTGAGGAACAAATGAGAGCCTTGTCACTGAAAGCCAGCCTTGCTATGAACAGAGATGTTGTTTTTCTCCGTCCTTGTCTGTCTGGTTTATACTGTGTTTTCTGTGCCTTCCTGGCATGTTATCAGCYCCAGGTCCTGAGTGCTGTACCAAGCCCTGCTGTGCTGCTTTCTGGCACTTTTGCACTGGGCTTCTGACCTTCCTTTCTGCTTGGATGATCACAGGCTCTCACCCACTAGGTTACTAGCTTGCATCATGAAAATGAAGAGCAAGCCCAGTCTTATCCATAACAACATCCATTTTTTTAAATGTTGTATCTAATGCAGACAGGGAAATCCAAAGTYGTTTTATTACCTATCTTTTCAGTCTCGCAGTTTGGTCCTGTGTAGAGTTCTGAGCATTCACAGAGGTGGAGGGAACTGCTGTTGGTTGTTTCAGAGCAAATGCCATCATTCTTACAAGGATTTGGCATACATGGGCCACCTGGGAGAARAGGAGAAACACTTGACTCTCAGATAATCCAGCCCTGAAGAGAACTGTGCTTGCTTAGATTATGCTGACTCCTAATGCTGCACATCCCCTGTATTTTAGCATGTTTTACTTGTATCTGACAACAGGAATAGGGAAAGAAACGCTGTTTCTCCAGTGAAACTTCAGAGCAAGATCCCTTGCACGGTTTTCTTCCATACACGCTSTCTTGCCACTATCCCCAACCCACTGATGTCCTTTAAAGTAAGTCAAGACTCCATAGCATCAAAGACAATGTGAACATGTTTGACTCACTCCTGTAGCATCCACGGCTGTAGTTTGAAATGCCACAGATTTCGCCAGTTCCACACACTTCATCAGAGCAGAAAACAGTGGAACTTTCTGTGCACTGGCATATCTGAGARCAGTCATCAGTTGTGAATATTTCTCCAATCTGGAAAAAGAGGAGTTAGATGTTAAAAAAAATCAAATAAAATCAGCCAGAAAAAAAACATTGATGTAGCACTGGGTGCCTCATTGTACTCTCTCCAATGCTTTCCTGATGAAGGGCAGAGGGTAGAATTTTTCTAAAGTAGTTTGTACAAAAAAAAAAGCAAGCAGTTTACTGATGGARCTCTTTGAAACTCAAGGATGGCCCAAGAAAGAAAGCAAAAGACGAGTTCAGGACATGAGATCCTAGCCCCRGGCAGAGTACATGTGCAACAAAAATGTCCAACTGTTGCTGGAGATGAGTGGCCGATGCATCACAGCATACCTCCAAGGCAATGTGGGAATGCTGCCATTCTTCTTAGAAGTGCCACCTGTTAATAGTAAATCTTTACTGGCTTAGGCATTTCCTGTAACAAATCTCTCGTGGCAATCTAGAAATCCATCAGATAATGAAGCTGTTCTACCTTGCTGTGAAAATGGAGGATTGTCCTCAGAATCCAGCTTTGCTCAGGGCTCYCTTCATGTCCTACCTCACTCTACAGACTCCCAACCCTGCTTGAGCTACTCTTCCCTGGGAGGACCAGGGCCACAGCATTGCACAGAATTTTTCTGTAGTGGCATGTTGCAAAGTTTAAAGCCTATGAGACTATTATTCAGTGTAATAAAGGTCAAGAATGAACACGAGTGTAATCACATACTTTCTCAAAATGTTTGCCTTGGACTGGCAGGCAGAGTTTCAGAGGGAGACTGAGAGATCTTGATCTCTCTTCTATTTCCACAGAAACCAGAATTTTATTAAACAATTGTTTTTAATGTTTCTAATGCAAAATTAGATGCTGAGTGTTATAAGGAGATTGCCAAAGTAACTAGCAGGAGAAAATACTACTTAGTGTTGCAGGAGTTGTCTGACCCACAGAGACACTGTACCTCRTAGTACTTGTTAAGGTATGTGCAGCCACACTGTTTGTAAGGCACACAGTCAAAGCCACTGAGAACATAACCAGGGAGACATTCACAGCCTTCAACACAGGGTGATTCACACTCAGAGGGGCTGGTCARGTCGTTGCAGGATGCTGGGCATGCAGACATGCATGAGCTGTACTTGCTGTTGGCAGGACATGATATACCTGTAAAAATAAGGAGTCTGGTTATACTGGGCTGCGTGCATTGCTTGAAATTAGGTGTTTTCTGTTCAGGTTTGTAGCTTGTGATGTTCTCAAAAAATTAAACTTTTTGTCCCATTGGGAATGGGGACATGTTTTCTCTCACAAAACTTATGATGATGGGGAGCTAACGGAGCTGATTTTCTAAGTATSTTTCTAAGCTGAGGTTTAAATTCAAAAGTCAGCATAGGACACAGAAAAGAGGCCAGAAAAACAAGTGTGGTAAAGTGTGTGAAGTGAGTGAAGTGTGAATCAATATGGTTTTACTCCCTGAGCAGACCTGATATATAATGTGTCTAGCAAAAAGGCTTCAACTTCAGATTTTGAGAGAACTATAGGTAGAATCCCTGTTTTCTCTTTCTTGCTGTGCTTACCACAGTCTGTCTGTTGCCTCCAGCCGTCCACACTGATTCCTTGCTGCTGACAAGCCAGCACGTATTCCTCCAGACTGCGACACAAGGTAGCAACCTCATCTCCTTCCACACACATATCGAACAGGCAGCTCCTACATGCAACATGAGAAAACATTTGTTTTTGGGTGATTTCTCTGCTTTTCTGCTTGACTCTGAGTTAGTTTTGTTTTCCAGGATCTGGCTGACCGGAAACTGAGTAATAAAGACACCCCAAGCATGTAATTGGGAAGATCAGGTCGTTTGTTGTGCAGGTGCTGCTGCTGTGTGAGGTGTCCCTACAGAATCACAGGGTCATTAAGGCTTGAAAAGGCCTTTAGAGATCATTGAGCCCAACCTTTAACTGAGCACTGCCAGGTCCACCTCTAAACCATGGCCCTAAACAGAAAATGTTCCTCATATGCCATCTAAGCCTCTCTTGGGACAAGCAAAAAACATTATCTCACTTAATACAGTAAGTTCTTCTTTGCTGTCTGCTTCTGTTTCRGGCTACACCTTGCTCAGTTCTTTATTGCTGCTAAACCTCACAGCTGAACTAAACACAGCTGAACAGGGGTACCCTCACCATGCCCATGTGCCTTGAATGTTGACACAGAATTCTGTTTTATCCAGGGTTTGTTTGTCAGTGCTACTTTCTCGGTTTTGCTCATCATTTGAATATCCATGGCCTGATTTTCAGAGGCATTGAATTCCAAGATGAATGGAATCTGCAAATATGCAGCACCTCAGAAAAATCAGAGTACCACTAAACAGGTAGATCAGGCTGCCCAACCAAATTCTAGAGTGAGGAGAAAAGTAGACATGTTAAGAATCAGGAGATTTATATATATAAACATTGAAGCCAGTGGTCCACTTCATTTGGCTTAAGATACTGGAATTGCTGGGTTCAGTTCTCCAAAGACAGTTACTATCCTCAGCTCCTATTAATACCCCGAAGACTGCAGATGACTGAAGATAGTTGCTGTTATAAACTGTTGCCAAAGTTAGTTTGCAATGGAGAGACAACTGTCTGCAGCAGACACTTACGTGAAATAGAAATCTGGTTGGACTGCAGAGTGACACTTGGCAAAAGGACCATTCAAGTCAGTCAGGATCTGACATCTTGAAGTCGCATATTGCTGCTCCAGCTGATTTTCATTGCAGCCTTGGAAAAGCCCTGGATCTGGTTCCTCCTCAGACTCGTTTTCTGAGTTGACATCTCGTCTGTAAATGAAGCCATTATGAAATCATCAGTGTTCTGTGCACACCCAACATTCATGGTACTACTCTCTGAGTAACACTGCAAGCATACTTCTGCCTTGTGGTATAAATGTAAGCTTAGYTCTCTCTCATGATTGATTCTGAATGGGAAGGAGATAGATATAGCAAATCAAAGATGTGCTGGAACACTTCTTATCATCTTAGAGATTTATGGATATTTAAATTAAATGGGATATCTGTAGTTATCTCTTTGTAAATTCTGCATGGTACAGGTTTCACCCACTGCCTCCTTCATGCTCTCTATTCAACAAAGCTTGAATGTAAAGCCCTGTTTCTTGGACACTATGCTCACTTTCACTGAACAACTGCCTGCGTGCCTGAAATGCCAGAATTCTCCTGTGGGCCCAGCCTCCAGAGCCCCTTTATGCTCAACACTATCTCACATACCACTTTCTGCAATTTTGGCTGGCAAATTTTTGCAGCCAATATGTATCCTGACAGCTAATACAATTCCATTTACTTGCTGAAAATGCAAAGTGTTAGTGGCTAAGCAATGAGCAAAGGGCTTTCAAAGCAACTGGAAGGAAGGAAAGAAGGAAGGAAACTTCAAGGAAGCAAGGAAGGTAGGAAAACCTTTTTCAGTGTTGTATGGACCAATTAGCACAGAATTTTCCTAACCACAAATATACTCATGTATAGTCAAAAGAATGTTCTTACTTTTTGTGTACTGGTAAAAGAAACATAGATAGCCATGAAAGTAAGGAAATCAGACTCTTCAAGAATCTTTTTCTGGATGGATTTGTGAATTTATGTTGATGGATTTTGAAGCTACCTTCATATTTCAGAATAAAGACTAACATTGAATCAGCATTTGCACTCACTCAGGCCCATCCAGCACAACACGAATTTATCTTTGCCTGGAACCATGATCTTGGCAAAGATAATATTCATCCCTGTGCYCTAACATTTGTAATGGCTGTGATTCCAAAGAGGGATACTGAACTGGAATAATGCACTGACTGTTCAGGCCTCTTTTGACCAGACAGCAGGGCACTGATAACCCACCTTAGTGATGAGCAGGAAGAGTCACTACACACAAACAAAAGGAAGAAGAAAGATAAGACAGTGTAGTTATTCACTATAACACTGTAGTTATTCCTAGAGGTTAACTATGGCTGAATTCACTTATTTCTAGTGGGTATTAAATAGAAAATCAAGTACCTGAGTCGAGATCTTCTTTTCAGAGGAACTTTCCAGCTTTCACCAAATACATTCACATTCCTCACCCAAATACCATCTGGATTTTTGAAGTCATTTCTGTATCTCCCATCAAAGTCACCACACAAGCCTTCCACTCTGCTTCTGTAGGTGGTGGCCAGCTTTATGTCTAGGGAAAGTCAGAAGGAAAAAAGCTGTTAGACAGAAATTGTTGCCACTGAGTGTATGGAAGAGGTGGAAAACAATGCCAAGTTTTCTGTTCCAATGCCAAGGGCCACATGTCATGATTCAGATTGAAGCAGGTAATGACATGGGCTTAATATGCAGCACAGCCCTGAACATACCTGTTCATACATGTATCTAGAGCTTTTTGTGCTCTAGAACATGGATCATGATAACAATTTTTTTGCAAGTTTTTATGTAGCATGACATCACCACCTGGGTGCACTTAGTTCATGCTGCTTATTGCTTTGCAACAAACTGCATGCATCACCTACTCTTTGCCCTTCACTTACAATYCACTTGATCACTGAGAAACAGAATTTCTATAGACAGACATTTTGTTTCTGCAGTTGGAATTTCAGGTCTCGGAATGATGGCCATGTAAATAAATAGCCTGGCACCTTCTTCATCCACTCAGAAATATTACAGCTATATGCTATTCTAAATCAGGTGTACCTCTGCTTTGAACAGGGGGGGTAATGTGTGTCCAGTTTACATGAAAGACTTGTGTATATGCTGTGTAAAAGTCCAGACAAACATTAAAGAATGGAACTGTATGGAGAAGGCTTGAGAGGAATCATGTAAAATGATACATCACAGGGTGTAGCTTGAGGATCTCAGTCCTGTGACTCCTGTGACTGGGTTAAGCTGGCAAAGGGGGAGATCCAGACTACACTCCATCAACCCAATCAGGAATTTTAAGTGATTTGCTTTTGGTTTTACCATTCAGGCCTTACTTAAAACAAGAAAAAAGTATAACAGTCTGACTCTACATCTCATTTCTCCTAAGTTCAGGGTAATACAGACAGAGAAATGTCAGTTTTATGGAGTTTTTTTCTGGTTCCCAGGAAACAATTTTTGTTGTAATTTTCTGGTGTTTCATATCACAAAGGAACATAAACACAAAGGGTGAAGATTTCAAATTTTGCCTTGGGTTTAGGCCTCCTGTGGAATGAGGACCTGTCTGGGACAGTGCATAAATATTTCCACACAGTTTTTTAGTATCACTTACCTGCATTTTGATTGCCATCAAAGCTCAGGTATAAGCCAAAATCTGTCTCCAGGTAAATTCTTGTTGTCCTCTGATATATACGAATACCTTCATGAGGTCGAACAGGGGGCCTAACTTTCACACCATCCAACTAACAAGGAAAGAAAAAATTAAAATTTATTATATATAGGCCAAATTAAAATCTGGTTTCAGTACAGATCCAACACTTATCATTTTTTTTTTAAATAATTATACCCAATAATTAACTAATAAAAACTATAGTATGTTTTTAATTTAACAAAATCATGTATTGAGGAAAGCGATCTGGCCACAGTGCTTTCATATCATCCTAAGAAATTTCTGTTATTGAGCCATAAATGTATACAGGAGCTATGTACTCTCTTACACACCAATGAAAAGGAAGGAAATTAAATTATCCCAGTATAAAACAAACCTTTCCCTGCTACTGATAAAAGTTTGTGTGGCTTTCTTGTAAGCCTTGGGACATTTGGTGCTTCATTCCTAAAACTCTATTTATTAATTTATTTGTTTGAAGTAGAATTGTGTCTTTCATAGCTATGAAGAAAAAGGACTCAACACAACTGAAAATCTCGTTTTTGGTTGCCTCACAGCACTGCTATAATAATTCAGGTCACTTTGATACTTTAATTCTTCAAAACAAATGTTCATTACTCAAAGGTCTTTTACTCCAAGGGAGAGCCTTTCTGTGTGCTCTGCAGTCAGGGAGAGACTTACCAGAACCTGCTTGTTCTGCCTGAATCTCACTGTGTGGTTGTAAACATTGATGAGCATCTCTTTCAGGTAAGTAATGTGTCGACTTCCACGTAAAGGATAGTTGGTGCCTTCAATGCTGAACTGTGTCAGAGTGTCAGGTAGGTCAGGGATGGTCTGAGCCAGAATATACGTGTATTTCCCTTGAAAGTGGTGCACCAGCCCATCAAAGGTGATGTAGTGTGGGTCACCCATGACCTGGCATCTTCCAAAAGCTGAAAGGGAAGAACTTCATTACTCTTCAGTCTAAATGTGTATGTGCCAGATCCCATGCCTGGATTGGTTCAAAATATTGGATAAAAATGATTGCAGCTAGCATGCAGGTCTGAAAGCAAAAGTGGGTGCTCAGGCTTCACTCTAGTGAATGGACACTCAAATGGAGAGATGGACAGAAAAGCTCATTCCCCTTCTAAGAACCACTGTGAGCCAAGCAGAATATTAGGGTATATAGAATTTATAGAGATTAAGTTGTGCACATTGGCCCTCTACAAAGGAATAACTGCCACACAACATGGCTTGCAGTGGGCTCTTAAGAGATTTTCTTTTCATAACCTCTGCCATTTCCAACATTGGAAAGCAGTGTTTAATTTTGGCTGAATCCATGCTGTCATTGATTTCCTCTGAGGGTAGTAAATTGATCCCTGAGTTCACCAGATGTAACAATCAGATGCAGTGACTATCATCTATGTATTCTCCTTTGACCCATGAGCACAGAGTAAACCATAATGCCAGGAGCAAGGCTATCCTTAAAACTGCTGGGGTGCCTCTGCTCAGATATTTTGCCAAAATGTAGCCAGGGGACGCTGGATTTTCCTTATGCTTTTGTAGTGATCCTCAACGCAGTAGGATTGGTGCCCTGCTATTCTTTGAAATTGAAGTGCAGGAATACTATGCTACAAGCTCTCTCCTAATCAACCCAATTTACCCAGAGAATATGGAATTAACTTTGCCTAGCCAAAATAAATACTGAATGAACGTACCAAAATCCTCTGATTGGCCTATTGTCTATCTGTTCAGATCTGCTCTGTCCTGGTTTTATTGATTGGTTTTTAGGGTTTTATTTTCTGTTCTCAAATAAACATGCAACAGCAAAAACAGGATCATTGTGATGGGCTGAGTTCTAGCTTTGGTAGATGCAGTGTAAGTTGTTTCACAAACTGAGTTCTAGTTTTGGTAGATGCAGTGAAAGTTGTTTTTTTTAAAAAAAATATTTAAACTAGTCAGGCTGAACTGTCAAATTTCTAGGTATAAGTGAATAATAACCAGGTATCCATTTCTCTCTACAAATTCCCCATATGGAATAGGAACCTTTTGTTATGAGAACTGAAGCCATTTTGTATTCAATGATGTGCTGTCAATGACAGAGTCAGAATTGCCTTCTTTCTCCATGAAAGAATGGAATTGCCATGAAAGAAAATATGGACACCCACATCCTCCCTCCTTTTGCAGCCCCAAAGTGAACCCCAACTGGGGACCTCCTTGCACATACCTGTTGGATTGCACTTGTGTTTTCCATCTTTGACCACGCAGGTTTCTCTAGAATCACAGCTATAGCTCTTACAACTGATGACACCGTTCTTCTGGCACTGGCATCTTTTGGTGCAGTGTGGAGTTATCCATGTCTCCCCAGCCTGGACACAAGTTGTGTTAATAATATCTTATCAAGGTGCTCAGCTTTGAAGTACAATAGGAGTTCAATAGCCAAAGGTGTGGACACTATCTAGGTGATCCTTGTTCAGTTGGCAATTCTACAACTGCTTGACTAAGTGTAGTCTCACCAAGAGCCTGGGAGACAGGATCTCAGCCCATTTATCTTTTATCATTTACTGTCTTCAGTGTGAGAATTTGAACACAAAACCTGACTAGGACAGACTGCCTGAATGACTCTGATCAATTGACTGTTTTCAAATAGGCTCCAGTTTTGGCCTCAGCTGCAAAGTACCAAGTAAAATCCTGCATCTCCCAATACCCAAGCCTGCAGCTTTTACTAATCAGGTGAAAGGTATTTAAGAGATAGACCCTGAAGTCTTCGATCTCTCTCTCTTCCTTGTTAAGATGGAGCGGAGACTAATTTTCCACAAGTTTTGAAGTCAGAGATTTGCTCCACAAAGTACTTACGCTGTAGTAATTGTTGTCATCATCCCTGCAGCCACAGCTGCTGAGAGGCACACAGTTGCCATTGCTGAGCACATAGTGATCGTCACATTCACAGCCCTCTGTGCACTCTTCTGTCTTCTCACAAAGGGAAGAGGCAAAAATGTCACTGCATGTTGATGGGCAGGCTGAGACACAGTCTGTGTAGTGGGTCCGGGATGGACAGGGCAATGCTTGTGGGAGAACAGAGCAACGTTATTAAATGCATTTACAAAGTGCACTGCAAAAACTGAAAGCTACACCTTGGCCTAGGGAATGGTAGTACAGAAGTGCCTTTTTTTTTTAATAGCTGATTTTCATCATCAGTTGGTTTTTATTTTTATATTTTATTAAAAAAACCCAGAACAACAAAAAGCAAAACAAAGAATGCTCTGTGGAACTGCTTATTCAGTTTATGTGTCCTAACACAGTGTCCCACATCTTTCAGCCTTCTGCTTATATTAATTCTCCATCTTAGGCTCACTGCAATATCTCACGGCACTCATTTGGCTACTAATACTGTTCTAACTCCACACTAATATCCATAGCTTGTCTAGTTTTGAATAATCTCTGGATTTATCTGAATGTGAACACAGTGAAGTGCAGCAATGGAATTATGATAGTAGAATTGCATTTTGTGAGAATTTGGATTTAATTTTCTTTTACATGACTTGTTCACCTAATTCTGCTAATTTTTTCATGCTATCTGTCATTCAGGTTTCAGTTTTTTCATTTGCTTGTGTACTTACGGCAGAATGTGCTATTTCTCCATTTAATGGTGATTCCATAATTCTTGCAGGTGTCCACATAGACTTGAACTATGTCGCAGAGAGCAGACTTCATACCATCATACTGGCACATATCATAGATGCAGATCTCTATGAAGTCGTCAGGGTTGACTAGACTATGGCATACTTTGAATTTGTCTGATTTTAGAACATTGCACTGTCTTTCAATGACTTGTTGATTCTCAGCAGTGCAAGGAGGATCATCATCTTCTCTTAAGTCTGGCAAACAACTGCAAGAAAGCACAGACACAGGCATCTAAGTTTCAGAGTCATATATAAGACAGAGATTGAAACTGGAAAGTTTATTTCCTCTGAAAAGTAGAAAAGGCTGGAGGTTATGACTTCCTTCTGTCAATGAATGAAAGACTGGGCAAAGTAGACTTGCCTGAAAACAAACATACTGTGTCTGACACTCATTACTCTCATTGAACTTGGCCCTGACTAGAAGATTGAGTTCACAGCTTGACCTTGGATGTGTCTCATGACTGCAAATTTCTGTGGTGACCTGGACTGAGCCAAGCTGATCTTGGCTTCCATCCATGGGTCTGCCCTGCTTGTCTCACTCAGGTAGAGGGGGATGGATGGACCCTGGCTGGTGATGCCACAGTTTTCTCAGCTGTGTTGTCACATATGGCACCCTGTGTGCTAGGGAGCAGCTGGCCCTCACCATTCCCCAGCACCATTATCCTGCTCTGGGTGTTACCAGTGTAAATTAAACAGAGTCCACACTGCCCCATAGACTCATTCCCCAAGTGTGTACAGAGATCCATAGAACAGCTGTGGTTTCCCTCTGAGCTGTGCAGTGTTTTCCTGTGGGGATGGCTTGTTATTGAGCTTCAAATTCAAGAAGAGGAAAGTCTCATGTATGATGTTTATATGTTACAAAATAGCAAACAGTCAAAACAATTGAAAACAATTCACTGTCTCCTGAAATAAGATGGGAGGTATGAAAATTATTTAGCAGTTACCCTTTATCACTGTCTGTCTCCACTTCCCAGCTGTTTCCAAACTCTGGGGCAGTGACAACTGTACCATTGGTCAAGGACAGATCATCTTCACGATTACCATTGAAATTGCCACACATGCCATGCACCTGCAGATGAAAAAGAACCAAATTCTAAGCATGACCTCTTATCATCAACTTCCCCAATATCTTCTTGTTTTTTGCCAATGAAATAATGTGACCAAATCACCACCAGCAACCAATCCTGTACCAGACATTTCAGAGATTTTGACTGCACCCATGGAGACACAAAGCAGAAATTGCAATAAATCTGTGATTCCCTAAGGCTTCATGCTGTTTATTTCTCTAAGTTAGAAGTATTCCCCTATACAGGTAATTTTCTTTAACTATCCCCTTGGAACACAAAGAAATTGTTGTGAAGAGAAAAAAATAGAAAGGAAAAAAATTACATGTTACAATACAGCTACAAAGAAAGATGYGATARCAAAACACAGGRAAAAAAAGTAAATACACAAAGCAGYGCTTTTGAAACAACTCCAGATGTTTGCATACTAAATMTTACCTGTGAGAAATAAGAGCGTGGGAGGGTGATTTCCAGATGGTGATTGCCATCATATTTCACTATCACACCAAAGTCAGTTTCCACTACTATAAATCTGCCAACATTTCCAATGGACATGCCTGGCAGTCGGTTCTGCACTGGAGTGTAGACTCTCTCATTGTTCAGCTGGAGAGATGAGAATTTGTTAGTATGGATATTCTTCCATGAAAGATCGCAATCTATATTTCTAGCAGTGCTGATGATTTCTCTGTGAGAGTTTTAGCTCTTTGTATTTCCACCATTGCATATTCCAACTATGCAATGTTGTAAATAAAAGTCTGTAATCAGACTTTTTGAGCTTCAAATTCAAGAATTTTGTAATCAGCCTTTCAGCTGAGGAGGGCTGGGCATGATTCATTTCCTGTGCTTTTAACAGGGAGCTGGAAAGATCCCTGGTAGTGAGCAAGCTCTTACTCACCCTTGGGGCAGATTCCTGGCTCCAGTACTGCCATGGCTCCCCATATTATTCTAGGCTGATACAGTGTGCCTTGCTCTCTATAGGTGATTAGGCTGATAAAAGCTGTTGAAATGGGGAGTCCATATTTTAATTCAGGGAACAATTTCCCAGTATGGAGGCCCAGGGTTTAATCTCCAAGATATGGACAACAAAACAGTGAACCCAAACCAGAAGTCTTGGGAACTAGTGAGAAATTGTATTTCCTCATGACACGCACTTAATGGAGGTGCCCACAAGTGTTAAGCATATGCATACATATTCCTTAGGAATTGTAAGAACCCTTTTTCCTACAGCTATTCTAAGTGAGCTAATTTTAAGAAACTTCTTGCCAGAATAAAGAGCACCACCACCTACCAGGATTCCTTTGTTTTTCTGAAGGGTGATTCGTGTGCCATGCACATCTATGTAGACTTCTTTCAGGTATGTGGCCCCTCTTAGTCCTCTGTCTTCATTCTTGCCAAGTATGGTTATAGGAATGACATTGGTGGCAGTGCTGACAACCTCAACCAAAGTGTAGGTGCAGGTTCCCACAAAAGTGTACTTCATTCCATCAAAAGTGAAATAATGGGGATCTCCTACCACTTGACATGTGGCTTGACCTGAGGGTGAAAAAAATGGTCTAAGAATTTTGTACAGGATTTCACAATGGGCTCAGCTCACCAAAGCAATTTGCATTAGTGTAGCAGCCTCATCCTGATTATTATTATGTGGGCAAACCTTCACAGAGGCATCTTAGGCTCATGACAATGACATTTATTTGGAAATAGGAAGATTCTAGAAATCATCTCCTAAATTTAATTTACAAATTATATAACATATAATTATATATACAAAATGACAATTTGGCAGCAAATTAACTTCTGTTTGTATTTCTGTATGCTGTGGTAGCTATGATTCATGATAGGTGAGGGTAATACAGAGCTTTTCTACATACCTGTATAAAAATACATAATTAACTGTATAAATATAGATGTAAATATAAAAACAAATAAAATTTCATCTCTATACAACACAATGCAATTGTCATAACCCAGGCCCACAGAAATGCAATTCTCACAGAAATACAACCAAATTTAAAACTTGCTGCACTGGTTTGGGACTTGAATTTTCATTATCAACACAAATAGAATCCAAGCAACCTTGCAAACTTATGGGCAGTATCGGTTTTTGATGATACAAAAGAGGAGGGCATCTGTGCTTGCAAGACAGAAAATCATGCATTTTCATCTTAGCATTGGCAGCAGTCAGCTGGGACTTCTTTACTATCCCATATGAAAAAATATTTATAATAAATCTTGAAAAAGAAGAGGATCTAATTGTGGAATAGACATTTTAAGTAATTTTGAGTCAGAACTTACCATTGGAATGACAGCCCAGCACACCATCCTGAATACTGCATTCCTCTTGGACTCCACACTCCCAGGATTTGCACTCAATTGTGTTATTTGCCTTGCAGGTGCAGCGCTCAGTGCAGAGGTAATGGGTGAACCAACTTTCATTCAGCTATGTGGGAAAAAAGAGGGTAGAAGTATATATTATAAATAGGTAAGTAAAACCATAAGGGAAAATTGAATTATTAGTATTTGAATGTGCATGATATGTGATCATTTGGGCAATTGTAGGCACACAGCTCGTGAGCAAAGAAAGCTGGCAAAGTAAGTCTATTTTGAAATTATTAATGGTGTAAATATTAATTGTGTAGTGTTATGAACATGTTTTTTTCTCTCACAGTGATAAAGAACGAGATCCCTTGTTTTGTTTTTTTTTTTTCTCCTTTTTTTCTTTAAATGTCTGATGTAACTTGCCTGGTGATACTGGTTCTTTTCATCAACACAACCACAGTTGCTTTCTGGCACACATTTGTCTCCACTCAAAACATAGCCTTCCTTACAGAAGCAACCTTCCACTGGCAAAGAGCTGCAGGAATCAACTGCTGAGATGTTGAAACAGGTAGAGGGACACCTAGTACCACAGCTCTTGTAGATGCTGCCTCCAGGACAGGACATTGCTAGATAAAGAGAAAAAATAAGATCACTTAAAAGGGCAAAATCATAATAAAAGTTCTCCTGATGCTTTCACTGTTGCTCTTGAAAATATACAAAAAGGTTGTTAAAAAGTCTGACACAAGAGAGTGCTGAGTACAAAGGATTCTCTTGCTGTGGGAGATGGGTGGCTTTTACTAGAGGTGGGCAAGACACGTGGGCCACCCTTGTGCTTCACCTCCCAGTGAAGTCAAATGTTGCAGGCTCATGAGGATAGGTCTGATGAGATCACACATGACTAACTGTGCTTGGCTCTGCAAACCTTTTTCTGCTGATTTAAAGGCATAAAGTGACCCACTTAAGGGAACACAAGAATCTTTTGCCATACATCTCATACATCTCCATCACTGTAGTTACTATTTGAACATCTGCAATATATTCCAAAATACAACTAAAAATTACACTCTGTCTTTCACTGATACTCCGTGAGGGAAATATACTTTCACACCCCTCCTGTTGACGGCAGAATTGGATGTCTATTGCTCAAAACATGGTCCCCATGCTAACATTACATTTTACAGAAATCCTGAAGCATTTGCCCATTTCTGTCATCTAAAAACCACAGAAAAACATGGTTTTGACTGGATTCTTTTATAAATCACTACGTATGATTTTCATTTATTTCTGTCCCTACAACAGGATGTCTTATTCCTGTCAGTTACAGCCAACATCTCCAGTCATCTAGCCAGACTTTCTTCCCTCCGTCAGTTGAGTTTTTATTTGAATCACTGATGGAGACAGCATTTGAGAGTCAATCCTTCTAAAGTTACTGACTTTTCTCTATTACTATAATCAAGCTATAGATATTCAGGTTCTGGGTTACGGCTTCAGACTATGGAGTCTGAATGTCCAGCTTTAATCTGATTTGGGGAGTTAGAAGCTCATTTCTTGCTCTTCTTTTTATATATCAATTGTCTGTTCTCTGTCCTCCCAGGGCTGACTTACTGGGTGCCTTATCACAGTAATTCTTTTTCCAAACAGACCTGCTCCTAGAACGTATCTAATTTTTTATTGTTTAGTTTAAATGCAGAACTCATTGTTGATCACATCAAAAAAAAAGAAAAAAAAAATAGAAAAAAGGTGCAGATCTGAAGGAAGTAATCCAATGGTAACTAGTATAATAAAAATTATTGTATGACAAAAAAACCATAGAGAACAATT